CAGGATCCGAAAGGAGAGGCAGGAGTGCGGGGGTGAGGGAAGAGGCCTGGGTGACAGCAAGCCAGGGCTCACACTGCCTCTGGCGGGCAACCTCTCTGGAGTTTTTTGCTGTTCAGTTTAATTCTCACAGCTGCCCCGTGGGATGTTGGGTTTTTTTTTGTTTTGTTTTGTTTTTTGATACCAGGAATCAAACTCAGGACCTTGCGCTTGCCAGGCAGGCGCTTGTACCGCTGGGCTATATCCCCAGCCCGTGAGATAGGTTTTTATCACCATTCCTGCTTTTGCAGATGGGAAACTGAGGCATGGAAAGATTCCAGTGGCTGAGATTTGGACCAGGACCTGTGGTGTGTGTTTGTGGGGGGTGGAGAGGGGCAGGAAAGGGGGCAGAGGTAGGGGACAGGCAGCTCCGGGGTGGAACAAGAAGCCACAGCCCTGTGCCTTTAGGGTGTGGATTCCCCTGTAACCCGGATGCTGAGCCTGTGGAAGCGTCCATGGAGTCAGAGGGGCAGATGCGGGAAGGGTTCCCACAGGAGGTTACAGAGGCAGGGACTGCGTCTCTCCCAGTGATTTGCTGGCCTGGGCACCTCGGAGAAGCTGCTAAGTTCTGGTGGGTGTGGAGGGTCCCAGAGCTTGTCCCCAAAGCTTGTGGCCTGTGTCCTGGCTGCCCCACCTCCCTGGCCTTCCTGAGCACCCTCTGAACAAAGGTGCCCCTAGGAGGCCATTGAGGCCCATCTGCTGTCTGCTTGGTACCCTCTTCCCAGTGCAGGAGACTCGAGCTATTTACTTTCTTCACCTGTGCCTCAGTTTCCACGGTGCTAAAATGGGTCACCGGTGTCACCCCTCGGGGCTTCCTTGCTGTGTGAAAGAATGAGTTTCAGGAGGTCTTTGAGGACTTGGCATGGACCCGGGAGTGCCTGGATGGGTGGGTGCGGCGGAGCCTGTGGCACCCACTGCCGCAGCAGCCCTGTGGGGCAAGGACACTTGCAGGTCTTTCCTGAGACTCCAGGCAGCCAGGGTCTGCCATGGGCACATGCTCGTCTGTAGAGAGTCGGGAGCAGGACTCACTCTCTGATCCGTGGGGCTCCCCAGTTCCAGCCTGGGCAACTGGAAACTGCAGGGTGCTAAGAGGAGGAAGAGAGCCTCACGGGAGCCCAGGCCGCCTCCCTGCCCAGGTCTCATTCCGCCTGCTTCCTGCATGTGTCTCTTCCTTCTCTCTCTTCCGTGATGTTCAAGGGTAACTTGTGGCTTACCCGCTCCTGCCCAGGGTTAAATCTCAGCTCTCCTGCTGAGTAGTTGTGCAAACTTCCGCAGCTCTCAGCCCCTCGGTGCCTTCATGTCTTCATCTGTGCACTGGGCAAATAATAGGGTCCATCCCACGGGGTTATTGTAAGGACCGAGATGATGGACACAGGCAGAAGCACTTAGGACAGCAACACGCATCTGCAGTTAGGACCAGCTCCTCCTTCTGGCTGGGAGGCTGGGGAGCGAGTGCAGGCTGGCGGCTGCCGTCGCTTCTCCTGGCCTTTCTCACGCAGGGGCTCTCAGGGCCTCTGCACACCATCTCTGACTGTCCCCCTCCAAACGACTGCTTGCGCTTCACCCACTGCCCTGGGCCTCGCCTCGGGCTCTGAGCTCCTAGGTAGGAGGGTGCAGAGCCAGAGTCCCCGGCCCCTGCTGTTCTCGAGCTGGCCTGTCTCCCACCCTGCCCCAGGCCTGCATTCCGGGAGGGCACCCGAAAGGGGCATCCGCCTGCAGGGGGTAGAGTGGTCAGGGCAGGACATGGCTCTGCCGGACCTGCCTGGGGAGAGCCTGGGGCATTGGTCTGGGAGGTCACTGATTCCCTTCCCGCCCTGCTACTCTGGGAGTCCCATGACTTGTGCGACCTTCAGGGCGGGGAGGAAGGGTTGAGAATCCGGGCGAGGCTCTCCCGGCTCAGGAAGGAAGGTCTGACTGCTGCAAAAAAAAAAAAAAAAAAAAAAAAAAGATCCAAGTTATAAAAACAAAAAGCATACACCACCACCACCACCACCACCACCACCACCGACAAAAAATAAAACCAGCCAGCACAGATCTTACTCACTGGCGGGGGCAGTGTGTGTCCTTTCCGGGCAGGGTGAGAGGTCAGAAGGAGGTGGGTGTGTCCTGCCCACCACCTGTGTGAGGGAGGCTGCCTCTGCCCTTGCTGCCTCTGCTGCCACTGGCCTTTCCTATGCGTCCCCTGGGGGAGAGGGCTGGCCCCAGTGGGGGGCTGCTGGGTGCTGGGTCCTCCTTGAGACGAGTGCTGTGCCCCGGACGGAGGAAGGTTCCGACGGGGGCCCTTGTACAAACAGTCCCCTGGGCCCTGGAGAGGGGGGCACACAGGGAGATGGCCTTCTGCCTCGGTTTATCTGTTTCTCTTCAGTTTCCCCCAAACTTCACCCTGCTAAGTAGGGCCCATCTCTAGGCTCCTTTCATTCCAGCCCTGGCTGACCTGTTGCTCCGTGGAAGGGCGGTGGGGTCGGCATAGAGCAGAGGCTGCTCCGAGGTCCAGAGTGCCAGCTCGGCCCAGCGGGGGCCCGGAGGCTGGAGGACCTGTCAGCCCCCTGGAGGCCACACTTGTTGCAGAGCAGTCATGCCACCGGTTAGGAACTCTGCTGTGGGTCTTGTGAGACCGGAAATGTGTGTGTGAGCCTGGATCACGGCAAGAGCTCCTTTGGGGTGGGGGCAGGACATCTGACCTCCCCTCCAGCTGCTCCCTTCCTGCTGGACCGGGGTCAGATCTGCAGTGAACTGAGGCCTCTGCAGGGAGAGGGGCCGGAGCCCAGGGGACTTCAGGATGCTGCCCAGGGGGCCACAGTGTCCCTCGGGCCTGCAGGTGGCTGAGCCCTCCCTGAAGCCTGGCTCAGCTGGCCCGCCCAGATCTCCATTGCTGGGCAGGCGTGACGCCCCAACTGCCCCCTCCCTGGACAGTTTACAGAGGCCACCACCATTCCCTTTCTGCCGAAGGTGGCCCAGCTAGGGCTGTTCTGCAGGCGCTGCCTGGTCCTAGGCCATCCCCTCCCTGGCGCTGGGCTTCTGTGGGACCTGTCCTTGATTCTTCAAGCCTGGCTTCAGCCTCACTAGGACCCCTCCTGGGACAGAGTCCCACATTGTCAGCCGAATGGTTCTGATGGCTCTGTCAGAACTGTCCCAGGAAGCTTGGTAAAAATGCTGAAATACAGATGAGTGTGTTGGCGCATGCCTGAAATCTCAGCACTCTGGGAGACTGAGGCGGGAAGATCAAACGCTGAAGCTCAGCCTGGGCAACTTAGATTGTGTTTTAAAAGACACACACAAAAAGAAAGAAAAGAAGAAAGGAAGAAGGAAGGAAGGAAAGAAAGAAAGAAAAAGAAAGAAAGAAAGAAAGAAAGAAAGAAAGAAAGAAAGAAAGAAAAAAAAAAGAAAAAGAAGGAAGGAAGAAAGGAAGGAAGGAAGGAAGCAAAGATAGAAGAAAAAAGGCGAGGGTGGGGCTGTAGCTCAGTGCAAAGGCCCTGCGTTCAATCCCTGGGTATCACAGGAGTTTTCACCCCACAAGTCCCCAGGAAATTCATGTATTATCCGGTTCAGAAACCACTACCTCGGTCCCCACTCATTTTACAGGTGGAGACACAGAGGCCTGAGTTTCAAGGGTCACACAACAGGTGTGTCCGGTACCCTTTTCTGTGTCCTGAGTGAAGGTTGGGGACCCTGCTCCCCACTTTCAAGCGCTTCCCTTATTTCTGAGTCTCCCAGAAGCCTTTCCCACTCTCTTTAGTGATGGGAAAGTGGGTGAAATCTATGAAAGGGGAGGGCGAGCCCCCTGTGAGCAAAGCCTTTGGACACAGACTGTCCTGCAGCGCCATCTTCTGGCAGATACTGGTATTAGCGTCGTGCTTTTCTACAGCGAGGGAATTTGCAACCTTCTGCTGCTTGGCTTCGTCTTCTGCTCACTCAGGGTTTAGCTGGGGCTGACGGTAGAGCCCTACCGGGCTCGAGGCCCGGTACATCTGGTTGGGGTGGCAGAATTCATCACGAGATGAAGGCTGAGTTTAGATGCCTCTACACTGGGTTCCTGACGTGACAGTGGCTTTCGAGGAGAGCTAGCAGGTGGGTGGCCAGCCCTCAACCATTGCTTGAACAATTGTTTGCCCCCGGCAGATCCACAGCATCACAGGGAGAAGGGAGCTAAGGACTGTTCAACTCTTCATGTGCACTCAGACACATGGAGTGCAGTCCACTGCCATGCAGAGCGCCCTTGGCTTCCCCTTTTAGAGGGCGAGACCAAGGTGCAGAGATAAACAGTAACTTGCTCCGGGCTACATAGTGAGCTACAAAAGTGACCACTGCACAGCTGCCCACCTGTAATCTCAGCACACTGGGAGGCCGAGGCAGGAGGTTCACAAATTTGAGCCCAGCCTAGGCAATTTAACAAGACCCTGTCTCAAAATAAAAATAAGACTGGGACTGTAGCTCAGTGCACGGGCCCTGGATTCAATCCCTGGGACTGATCACAGAACAGACTGGGGGTGTAGCTCGGTGGTAGAGCCTGTGCCCGGCGAGTGAGAGGCTCTGGGTTCAATCCCCAGAACAAAGCACATAAACAGACTCCCCCAAACGCAAACAAACCAGAAGTGTACGATATTTGGAGGGTGCCTGTTCTCCCAGGCTCGTTGAGCACCTCGTTTAATCTTTCTGATGCCCGTGTGATGGATGCAGTGCTGTTTACAGCCCTATTATTATTATTTTTTTTAATCCTGTGCTGTGGATCGAACCTGGGGCTTTACGCGAATGAGGCAAGTGTTTCCTCACAAGCTTCCGGCCCCAGCCCCCACAGCTCCATTTCTGAGGTTCAGAGAGGAGAGATGCCTTGTCCTCGGTCAGAGAGGAAAAGCTGGGTAGTGGGCGGGAGAGCTGGCTTGGAGCAGGGGTCACAAACCAGGGTCCACACTTGTACCTTCTGAGCCCAGGCGGGCAGCCCGGACTCACCCGGCCCGTGTGCTCAGTTCCAGGGCTCTGGAGGCCCCAGGCATGATGCTCCGGGTCCTGGTGGGCGCTGTCCTCCCTGCTATGCTGCTGGCCGCACCCCCACCCATCAACAAGCTGGCGCTGTTCCCGGACAAGAGTGCCTGGTGCGAGGCCAAGAACATCACCCAGATCGTGGGCCACAGCGGCTGTGAGGCCAAATCCATCCAGAACAGGTGGGACAGAGGGTGTGGGGCGTGAGGACCACCCGGCTGCCCAGCCTGCCTCCCCCGCGGTGACACGGTGCGCGGTGACCTCCCCTCCCACAGGGCGTGCCTGGGACAGTGCTTCAGCTACAGCGTCCCCAACACCTTCCCACAGTCCACAGAGTCCCTGGTGCACTGTGACTCCTGCATGCCAGCCCAGACCATGTGGGAGATTGTGAGTATGCGCCCCCCCCCCCCCCCCCCACCCTGCCTGGGTACCGAGTCGGGTCTCGCTGCGTGCGGGGCGCGCACGTGGTCCTTGCCACAGGATGGGTCACAGGTCTGACACCAAGTTGTGCAGGACAAGGATCTCTCTGAAGCTACTTTCGGATCCCACTTGTGTACTGAAATTCTTTCAGTGGCTTCCCGACATCTCAAGCCATGTCTGCAGGGTCCCGTCGGGTCTGCCTGAAGAGCCTCTGCAGCTTCTACCCTCCCCTGCTTTCCTTACTAGTTTGACACCTGACACCAACCTGCCTCCTTTCAGTCCTTCCTACCTGTGCTGCTCCCTTCCACCGCAGGGCCTTTGCACATATTCTCTGCCCTGTTCCTCCCCTCCCCTACCTTGATTCTTCAGTCTTGGCTCAAGCATCATTCCTGTTCCTATCCGAGTCAAATGCCCGTGCTGCTGGCTTGCAGCGCACTGTGTGCCTCCCTTGTGATCGTCTGTCACATCTGCGGTCTTCCCAGCACGTCGGGGTGACTATGGCCAGTTGGTTTCCCTGGAAAGGTCACGCCTGTTGTTACGTCCCCAGGGCTGGCATGGAGTCGGTGCTCTGGGGAAGGAAGGAGGGAGGGAAAAGTGAATAAAGAACAAAGGGCAGTTAGCAGTGTGCCCACAGGGGAAAGGCAGCGTGCTCACGGGTTCCTCCTGGGTTCCCGCGGGGGTGCTGGAGGCTTGGGGCGGGGCTCCTGTGAGGTCAGACCCAAAGGCTGCCCAGAAGTGAACTGGGCAGAGTTTGGGGCAGGAGGTTGGGGGTGGGTTGGGAAGAACCTACCAGCCAAAGAGAGCAGGGCGTGCAAAGCGCCTGAGGCAGATCGGGGGCAGAGAGCTGGGGGCAGAGGCACAAGGTCCGGGGTGCGGGGCGGCTTCGGCCAGCCTGAAGGTCCTGGGCGGCCATGGAAAGGGTCGGCTCTGTTGTCCAAGGGCAGTAGGGGAGCACTTGGGGAGGGTTAAGCAGGGGCAAGCGACACCGCATTTCCCAGAGTGCCCCGCGGCTGCTGCGGGGTGCGCGTGAGGGGAAGGCTTGGGTGTGCGGAGCAAGTCCGGTGGCTGCAGCAGTGGCTTGGTCCCTGCGCCCCTGGGGGGGGGGTCCCCAGAGCTAATCAGTGATTGCATGTGATGCTCCTGGGGCCTCCCCACCTGCCCCAGGCCTAAGGACAATCTCTCCCTTCCTCCTGCCCACCCTAGGTGACCTTGGAGTGCCCCGGCCATGAGGTGATGCCCAGGGTGGACAAGCTGGTGGAGAAGATCCTGCACTGCAGTTGCCAGGCCTGCGGAAAGGAGCCCAGCCACGAGGGGCTGGGTGTCTACGTGCAGGGCGAGGACGGGCCGGGCTCGCAGCCGGGCGCCCACCCCCACCCCCACCCTGGTGGGCAGAGCCCCGAGCCCCAGGAGACTCCTGGGGCCCCCCACGTAGAAGAGGAGGGGGCTGAGGACTGAGGCCCCTGCTCTTCCTCCCCTCGGGGCCCCTGTGGAATGTCGGGTCTCACCCTCTGGGGAAGAGCGAGGGGAGAGGTGGAAGCTCCCCTGGCACTGGATGAACTTGGATTCAGACTTGGACTTGGAATGCTGTCTGGTTGCCATGGAGATCTCAAGGGGAGGAGCTGGAGCCAAGCTTCACAATTTTAATATATTGGAGCGTGGGGGGAGGAAGGAGAAGTCTTCAGGGCTCTTTTTGGAAGTGGGGCGGTCTTTGCTTTCTGCCTTGTAGAGAGGTGTTCCTGGGAGGGGAGGAGGCCGGCTAAGCTGCTGAGCGTGGGTGAGGCCTTCCAAGATGGCAGGTGCAGGCCAAGGCCCGCCCAGCCCCTGCTGGGGCAGGATCCCCAGGGGTGGGGCCAGGTGGTACAGCCAGGGGCCCTAAAGCTAAGGGTGGCACCATGCCAGTGTCTGCCTGGCAGGAGGACTGGGCTAGGAAGACCAATGGCAGAAGCAAGAAGCTCCAGCCTGCACAAGTTTCCCTAATGGCCTTCCCTGGACACCCCACCTCCAGGGAAGCATCTGCCCTGGGCACAAAGTGCCCCCTCCCACCCAACGGAGTGGTTGGGAGTCAGGCTGGGCAGGACCCTGCTGACTCAGGGCACCAGGGCTGGGGCCAGGCTCTTTGGGCCTTGCTCTGGCTTCCTTGGCTTGCCCTCAGCGAGCTTCCGGGGTCAGGGGAAGGGCTTTCTAAACATCTGGGGGCCGATGGGGTGAGGGTGGTCTCCCTATCAGAGGGTCCAAGCTGGACCCGAATAGATGCTGGCTGAGCCTCTAGGAGCTCCAGGACAGGGTGGCCCCTGTGGGTGACCCGTTGTGACCCCGAGGTCCCCAGTCCCGCCCCCTACCCAGCTGCACTTTAAACCTAGAGGGATGTGGAACCCGGGCCAGGGTGGGCGGGCAGGCGGTGAAGCTTCCCCTGCACCCTGAACTGCCCACGCTGCTCTCTCATGTGTGCCCAGGGCGATGGCAGCCCCCACCCCTGCCCGGGGGTACCCGGCCCCTCGGCTGTTCCCATGGACGAGAGCTTCTGTAGAGCTTGTAACCAGTAGACTCGCCCTGAAGGACCCTGAATAAATGCCTTCAACGCTGGTGTCTGCCTCCCTCTTGTTGGCCTCTGCTGGCCTGGGGGGTTGGGGAGGGGGCTGGGCCTGTGTGGTGGGGAGCAGCTGCCACACTGGTGCCACCCCCCAGGGTCCCCTGTGCTGTCCTGCCCTGGCACCTTGTCACAGTGCCCTACTCCCCAGCTGCCCCAGCTCCCACCTTTTCCCGCGGGTGCTCATTGCAGGCCTTGTGTACGCTGTGGACCTCAGAGCTGGGTTTGGACCCATGACCCCTTGGGTTTAGCTCTCTCATGGTGCAAATTGATAAAACCCAAAGCCACCAGCTATAAGTTAATAAGGTTGGTAAGCAGTGCACACAAACAAGCTCACCTAGTCCTCAGGCCGCTTGGCCATGTGGCCCTCGTTTGCAGATGATGGGCTGAGGTGCAGGGGGTCGAGTCCTCTATTCCCAGGGTCGTGCTGTTAAGAAATGTCAATGGGGCTGGAATCCCGAGCAGTCTTGCCCTGGGTCTATGAATGCTTGGGGACACCAGCAATTCTACGTCCACGACGGGGTGGGCCGTTCACGTTTGTTTTAGAGTGGGAAACTGAGATTCTAGAAGCATAGCTAACTCGAATAGGCTCGCAGGTCCCCCTGACGTCCCCTGGACACTTCAGCATGGCAGTCAAAGTAGCAACAATCAACGAGCCACTAGGGGTCCTCGGTGCTACACCTCTGAGCCGGAGCGCGGCCCGGCGGCAGGAGTCCCGATCCTCCATCCTGCGTGTGGAATGAGGCAGGACGCAGATCCACACGTTACCCAGGCCTGGGTGGAAGGAGCAGGAAGGTATGGTGGCAAGGCTGGTGGCCGGCCGGAACGCTAAGCGGTGCTCGGACTTTGCAGCAAGCGGTCCAAGTTTCAGCGAGATTTGCGACCCGTAGGAGGGAGGGCAGGATGGAGACCAGCAGCGGGGAGTGCGGCAGTGCGGCAGTTTGAGTGGACGCTGCTGAAGGCGCCAGTTCTGAGCCGGCGGTGGGACGGGAGAGGCGGGGCCGCGGGAGTGGGCGTGGCCACTCGGGAGAGGCGCTGCTGATTGGATGTGGGAGTAGGTGAGGGGGAGGAGCCATATTTGAAAGCAGATTTGACAAGTATTTCTAAACCAGGAGAGCCCAGGAATAAAACTACAGCCCATCTGCCTCTCTCCACAAGGCGGAGGCGCCTAAAATCCTTACATAGGATTAGCGACCACACCAGCGCTGCGAAGGCAGGCCTACTGAGCTGGTGCAGAGGTTTCCTGAGACTCAGTTGTCCCATTATGGTACCAGACACTTCCTCCAGAGAGAGAAGCAAAGGCTGAGCATCATTCTTCTGTTTTTGAAGCACTGAGAATTGAACTCAGGGAGCACTGTGTTACGTCCTGAACCCTTTTTATTATTTTATTTTGAGACAGGGTCTCTAAAGTTGCCCAGGCTTGGCTCCAATTTGTAATCCTCCTGCCTCAGCCTTCAGAGTAGCCGAGATTACAAGAGTGTGCCCCCACATCAGCAAAAGATGATCATTCTTGAACGTCACTCTGTACCCTGAAATGTTAAGGAAGTCCAGGACTTCCAGAGGAGCTTACACGTGGAGTTTCTGAAGAGGGCTCAAATTCAAAATAATAACAGTGTGGCCACAAGGGGGCACCACCACCATGACCCAATCTTTTTTAAAAAAAATTCGCGAAGCAGATTTTAAAATAACAAACACCCCTTGGATCTATCACGCAGGATGAACACATGTTAAAATTAACATCACATTTTCTTTATAAAAATAGAAGATATCATACATCACAGAAAAAAATCTAGAAACAAAGGACATATTTTATCCCATTATATACTTTTTTTTTACAGTGCTAAAATTTATCAGGCACATCTTTTTTACCAAGAGGTTAAAGTACCAGCCACATCTGCAGTACCCTAATTTCATAGCAACAGGGAACTGAGGAGACTTTGCCAATCTCACAGAGCAAAGAGCAGAAGGAAGAGCACCAGCCCACATCACTGGCCTCCAAGACACATTCTACACAGCATCTGTCAGGGTTGCTATTGCTCGCGTAAGAATTCCTGGGCTAACAGAGTGGAACATTCTGTTGTAATGGCATATAACAGAACAATATAATGGAACATTCCCATTGTACAGACGGGAACACTGAGGCCAACAGCTAGCACTGACACATGCACCAACTGACATTTATACCAGGGTCATTTCATCTCCTCAATGTCACTGTAAGGCAGATGCTGTATTCTGTTAACTCTTGCAGAGGAGGAAAAGAGGAATCAAGGAGATGGGGCCACTCTTCCTAGAACTCTAGAGTTACTAAGCAGTAGATTGCTCCTCACCCTCGATCCAAGATTTCTATACTGCTCCCTGCTCCTTGAGGTGCACTGTGGCCTGGGGGAGGGAGGACAGGCCTCACCTGCTGCCTGGATCTGCCTGCTGGCAGTTCTGGGGCTTGGAAGCCAGGTGTGATGGAGCATGCCTGCAATTCCAGTACTCAGGAGGCTGAGGCAGTAGGATTGCTGTGAGTCTGAGGCCAGCCTGGGTACACAGTGAGTTCAAGGCCAACCTAAGCTACATAGCAAGACCCTGTCTCAAAACAAAACAAACACTGGGGCTGGAGGCACCACGTAGGGGTTGGGGGAGGAGCGGGTGCTCCAGGTTCTGAGGTTTCTATACCTTGACTATCTGTACATGGCTCCCTTTGCCCCGGGGAGCTTCAGTTCCCACTGGATTGCTTGCTGTTGGTGATCTTGGGAGAGGTCCTTGACCTCTGATTGCCAGTTTAACACCCGCTTCTCAGCATTATAGTTTCTGTAGACAAGGGGTACGAATAACATAACCCCCCAACAGAGCTGAAGCCTTAGGTGTGCGTCGTATTTTTGTTTCTGAAAGATGATTTGCCCAGGTCCCCTTTATACTGTACATTTTTTCCTGGAGCAATTATCACTTTAAGATCACTTGTATATTTATTATGCTTATTATTTGTCTGTCTCCTTCCACCAGACTGTAAGTTCCCTGGAGGCGGGGAGCTTTGTTTTGGTCGCTGTAGCGCCGTGATTGGTCAGAACAGGCGCGCCGATACTTGCTAGGTTCTCAAGAAATATTCTGGAGCGATCCAGCGGCGTGTGTCCTATGAATCTACACAGGAGGGTTAGATGAGAGTGAGAGGGTGGGGTGTGTGTCACACACAGCCAGGAGGCGCCACACTCTACCCCCTGTCTGCAGTGACTCTACCCTACCCGGCCTGGGGTCCCCAAACGTGTTCACACTCATACCGGGAGCACCAACAGGTCAGGAACTTCATCCATGGTTCCCGGTGCTGCTGGCCGCGGGATGATTTCTGCTCAGATTGCAGGTGAAGAATGCCAGGAATTACTAACCCATTTTATAGATGCCGCAACTGAAATCCAGCTAGCTTGCCCTAGTGCCGTGACGCCCGCCGCGAGTGGCGGGGCGCCCGCTGGGGAGCAGTTCTGGGGACAGGCAGGTCACAGCCCCCTTCTTTGAGTTCCGCCTGCGCCATCGCCACGTGTGGGGTGAGGAGAGAGGCGCGGGGCTGCCGCCTCCCTGGACGCCACCCGGCGCAGCGTTGCCCCGCAGGCCTGGGGGTCCGGACCCCCGCTTCCCGCGTGCTGGGGCTCCGCTCTCCCCGCCCACAGCGGGGCGGGGCGCGTGCTGGGGCTCCGGGACCTCGCGCTGCGCTGGCACCGCCGGCTGCTCGCCGCGCCTCCCGCTCTGGCGCCCCCGGCCCGCCGCGCCTCGCTCCCACCCCGCGGCGCCTGCCGCAGTCGCCGGCAGCCAGCAGCGCGGGCGCCCAGGTAGGAGCGCGGGCGAAAGGCGCCGCGATTTGGGCGGCGGGGAGGGCGGAGAGCGGCGCTGCCCTGCGGGCCTGCCCGGCCCGTTCCGCGGCCTCCCGCGCGCCGCAAGGCCGAGTGCGTCCGCGTCCGGGGAGCCTCCGCGCTGTGGGAGACCTGCCTTCCCTGCCGGGGCTTCGCTCCCATCCCCGGCCCCCATCAGCGCCCCCCAAACTCAACGGCTAGGGACCCAGGGCCCCCCACGCCCACCCGCCCCGGGCGCCTGCGGGAGAGCGCCCTTTCGCGCCCGGCTCCAGTGCCCCGGGCGCTGCCCTGGGAACGCGACCCCGCGCCCACCTCCGCCCGCGCCCTCGGGGGTCTCCAGCCGCCCCGGAGCGCCCAGCCAGCCTCCATCTAACTTTCCCCCGCTCCTTTTCGGGGACTCAGAGCCTCAGATGCCCCTCCCCAAACTTCCCGCCCGAGAGCTCCAGTGTCCCTAACCCACCCCTGGGGGAGCCCAGCTAACCCGCTTCCGCTCGCCCCCCTGACCCTGCCACCGTGCCTGTCTCTTACTAGCCAACCCCGAGAGTGTTCCCACCGTCGACGCCCACCCGGCTTCCCTCCTGCGGGGGCTCAGCTGCTCCCCGCCCACCCTGTCACGTCCCTGGCCCTCATCCTCTGTCCCCATGGTCCCCGAGCCGGGCCCTGCCAACCACAGCGCCTCGGCCTGGGGGTCCGGCCCGCCGGCGGCTCCGGGGGGCAGCGGCTGGGTGGCGGCCGCGCTGTGCGTGGTCATCGCGCTCACGGCGGCGGCCAACCTGCTCCTCATCGCGCTCATCTGCACGCAGCCGGCGCTGCGCAACACGTCTAACTTCTTCCTGGTGTCGCTCTTCACGTCGGACCTGATGGTGGGGCTGGTGGTGATGCCCCCGGCCATGCTGAACGTGCTGTACGGGCGCTGGGTGCTGGCGCGCAGCCTCTGCCTGCTCTGGGCCGCCTTCGACGTGATGTGCTGCAGCGCCTCCATCCTCAACCTCTGCCTCATCAGCCTGGACCGCTACCTGCTCATCCTGTCGCCGCTGCGCTACAAGCTGCGCATGACGCCCTCGCGCGCCCTGGCCCTCGTCCTGGGCGCCTGGAGCCTCGCCGCTCTGGCCTCCTTCCTGCCGTTGCTGCTGGGCTGGCATCAACTGGGCTACCCTCGGGCACCTGCCCCGGGCGAGTGCCGCCTGTTGGCCAGCCTGCCCTTTGTCCTTGTGGCGTCGGGCCTCACCTTCTTCTTGCCCTCGGGTGCCATCTGCTTCACCTACTGCAGGATTCTGCTGGCTGCCCGCAAGCAGGCCGTGCAGGTGGCCTCCCTCACTACCGGCACAGCCGGCCAGGCCTTGGAAACACTGCAGGTAACCGGGGTGCCCTGGGAGACCCAGACTGTGGGATTCAGGAGTGAGAAGCCTTTGGGCGCCTACCTCTAGGTAAACTCTTTGCGATGAGCCCTGGGGTTATTCTAGCTCCCACCTTTCTGAGCCCCACACTTAGTGCCTGGCTGTTCATGGGGCAGTTCCACAAGTCAGGAAGCTAACAAGTGTGGCAGGGAACTTAGGACGGCCCAACTCCCCCCAGTAGCTCCTTCGTGGTCTTCCCTCTTGGGCTTGAGGCCGTCTCAGCATCCCACGCAGGAACTTGGGAAGAAGGTCTCTCCCTCATGGTCCTGCCGCTCCTCCCGAAGGCCTTTTGTTTCTGCCTCCTAAACAGGTGCCCTCACCACTGCCACCTCTCTCACCCAAACCATAGTCACTGGTCAGCTGCGAGCCTTTGATAGACGTCTGCAGGCTGTTTGGCGTCCATTCGGGACCACTACTGTCCATTTTCTGTACAGGAATCAGAGCAGTTAAAAAAATCGATCATGGTACTCCCTTGACACAAACCCCCACTGCACTCAAAAGGAGAAAACCGTCTCCCAGTGTGGCCCCAGGAAACAGCCCTGCCAGCCTCTCCCGCTTCCTTCCCTGCCCTCCTTTTGCTTTGTACCAGCCTCGGGTCCCTTGAGACAGTTCCAGCAGCACCAGGCTTGCTTCTGTGCTAAGGTCTTGGCGTCGGCTGTGCCCTCTGCCTGGAACGCTCTCACCTGGCTCCTTGTCAGTCTCCCTTATTGCCAGGACGGCCCTGACTGCCCTGTCTGAAGCTTCTTTGGCCTCCCTCACCCTGTTATTTCTCCCCACGACCCCGCGATTCCTTGTGAACTTAGTCATTCTGGTTCCTTGACTTACATATAAGCTCCACGGGGGTTGCATGTATCTAGTCGGTTTTGATCCCCAGGCACACAGTAGGTGCTCAGTGGTTACTTGGGAACAGGGAAGGTACTCCTGCCCCAAGGCTCTGCACGCTCTATATGTGGAGTGGCTGCTCTTGCTACCCAAGCCACACTGTGCTCTGAGGGGAGGGCATGTGGACCGGCCAGGTCTGAGCCCTGGGGATTTGGAGAAGGTCACCAGACTCATTGTGGAGGAGGCCCTTGGACGATGGTGGGTGCCTTGGGAGCCATAGGATGTTTGGGAATTTGGCTGTGGCCAGCGGTAAGGCCCAGAGCATCACCTGTCCCCATACATAGGAGGCTGGGATGGACAGGGGTTCCTGGCTGCAGCCCCATTTATCCCTCTGCCTGTGTTCACAAGAACATTCTTGGGTTCCAGCAGGTGCCTGTGACCTGGATTTGCTGTTTCAGGGCAGGATGGCTGCTCCAGATCATCCACTTGCTTTCTTGGGTTCTTTGTTTATTTATTTGCTTGTGTTGAGGCAGGGCCTCACTATACAGTTCAGGATGGCCTTGACCTCACTATGTAGCCCAGGCCAGCCTGGAATGCGTGGTGATCCTCCTACCTCAGCCTCCCGAGTGTTGGGATTACAGGCGTGCACCACCACACCTGTCTTGTTTTTTTCTTTTAGGTCAATGAAGATTTACTTTATTCTCAATGTTCAGTGAGGTACCCCTACCCCATAAGGCATTCCCAGTTTGTTGCAGTTTTTCATGAGTTCCTTGATTTTTCCCTAAGCTGACTTAAGCATAAGAGATGACAGCACAGGTTTCTGTCCTGTGTGAATTTTCTGATACAAAAGAACATTTGTTCTTTTCTGTACAGGCCTAGGATACCCATGAAGTGAATGAACTACTGTGGGTGCTTGAGTTCTGCTGCAGACAGATCACACGCAACAGTTCCACAGAGTGGGGGTCTCTCTCTTGCATTAAGTATAAATAGGAGTTGCCCTGGGATTCTGCAGAGAGATTTAAAAAATTTTCAGCCCTGGGGAGCAAACCCAGGGCTTTGCATATGCCAGGCCTGCACATATTGAGATCTACATCCCAAACTCCCTGCGTCCTTGGCATGTTTAGGCATTCAGGTTACGGAGGATATTTGCCTTTCAATCTCTTCTATTCCCACCCCTACCTCAAGCCGCTTAACTCTTACGTATTTAGCATTAAAAAAAGTTTTCTCGGTTTTCTTTTTTGTCTGTTTTTTTTTTTTTTTTTTTTGGTATCGGGAATCAAACTTAGGACCTTGTGCTTAGTTTGTCTGTTTTTTGAGACAGGGTCTCTCTCTGTGGTGCAGGCTGGCCCTGAACTCACAGGGATCCTCCTGTCTCAGCTTCCTGGGTGCTGCGATTACAAGTGTGTGCCACCATGGTGGACTCACTTATATTTTTACCTCTGTGAATTTTTTTTTTTTTTTTTTTTTTTTTTACAGTACTGGGAATCAAACTCACGATGTCGCGCTTGCTAGGCAGGTGCTGTGCCGCTGAGCTAAATCCCCACCCCTATCTCTGTGAATTTATTTAGAAAGAAAACTTTGTATCTCTTCTGCAAATGGAAAGTTATGCATCTCCGCCTTTTGGCTAAGATCTAGTGTGGAAATGAAAAGTTGATATTTCTTGTCATAGGTAGGAAGTGATCACACACATGATTTCGGAGACATCCCAGCTGCATCACTGATGTCCCCTCAGTATGACCCGTGTGACTTAGCCCAAGGCCTGGTTTCTCTTTAAGTGTTAGGGGATGTTAATAACGAGGTAACCTTGACACAGACTTTCTCTTGAGGTTGATCAGAAGAGCTGGATGACAGCTTGGGGGCTGACACTGTCTGTGACGCTGTTATTTTATGGGGCATCTATTTATCACTGGAGGCCCCCTCTGTTCTCTCCTTTGCACCAGTGAGAAGTTGGCTGCTCTGTGTGAATTCGGGGTGGGAGGAGAGGTCTGGATCCAGTGGTGCTGCTGGGAAGCAGATTTTCTTCCTGGGGAGTGAGTGAGCTGCTTCCAGGCTGCCTCTGCAATGGTGGCCTTGGGATCTGGGGGCCACGGCTGTAGCCTCCTGACTCGGTCTCATGGCCTGTGGTGCACTAAGCTAGGCCTTTTAGTCCCCCCGACATCCCGCGCTGCCACCACCATCCTGTGGGACAGATGGTGAAACTGAGGTTCAGAGAAAGGTGACTTGACCTGCACGGGGTTGCACAGCCGATAGATGAGGTTCCGGCTCGGATCGGGCTGATGTCAAAGCTGGTGCGCTGCTCACGGGGGTGCCATTCTCAGAACACTGCCCAGGGAGACCACACCGTGTCCTTTTACTTCGCTGTGCCTTTTGCGTGTCCTCTGTTGGGTCCTGATCTGTGCGTCCAGCCGCGGCCCCCCTGCGGCCCTATCCTCAGCCTGCACATTTCCCCACGTTCACTCCTGGAGCGACTCGGTCCTGCCTCATGACGGGAGACCCCAGCTGCACGCAGTGGTGTCCAGCGGGGCCGCTTGCTCGCCATGCCCCACACAGACGTCCCCGCTTCCCAGGCCCAGGCCTCGTTTTGAGGTCTTCCTCACGCAGCAAACGGCAACCTTCCTCTTCCAGTTGCTTAGACCGGCAACCCTGGAAGCAGCCTGGGCGCGCTGTCTCCCAGCTCACAGCCAGCCCTCTCAGCTCTGCCTTAACACCTGTAGGGGCTCTGGGCGCCTCATCGCTCCACTGCTGTGCACCTGGGCTGGGCCCTTTCACCAGAGCCTGGTTTATTGATTGACTGCAGTCATCTCCTAACTGACCTCCTGATTCTGTTCTTGCTCCCTTTTAACCACACGCCCCTCTGTAGTGTCATCGCTCCACTCCGGAAGCCACGCACCTCTTGTCCCCTGGCCATCTTCTCCTTATCTGGTTTCCTTTCCACCACACCCCTTCTGTTTGTCTTTCAGCCACACTGGATTCCTTGCTGTTCCTAAAGTACATGAAGCACATTGCTACCTCAGGACCTTTGCACCTATGCTTCTCTCTGCCCGGAGTGTCTTTCTTTCACATGTCTGCAAGGCTGTCCCTGAACTTCCATCTCTTCCTTCCAGCTTCTGTTCGTTTCCTTCCCTGTTCCATTCATCAGGAGTAGTAACTGCCACCCTCCCCTGGACCTGCCCAGTCCTAGTTTTCCGGGTTGCTTCTCTGAGCAGCCTTTATAAACTCCCAACGTGTCATTTAGTTGTCCATCCGCTGATGGATTGTTGACTTCCTCTGGACTCTGGGAGGATGGGAGCTTGTCTTTGTGTGTCCTGCCACGTTCCCAGATCTGCACCCAGCACAGCGTAGGCGCTCAGTCCGTGTCTGTGGAGAGAATGAGGGACACAAAGTTTTACAGGCCCAGGATCCACCCCAGTCGTATTGCTGCTTTTCCCACTCCCTTTGGGACCAGTTCTCCCATGGGCTGGAGCCTCAGCTTTTGTTACTTGAGCTCCTTTGCTCAGCAGCGTGAACTGAATGAGGAGGCTGCTCTGGGCTGCGGATTCGGCGTGATGAACAAGGCCAGGGAGGCCCCGCTCTCGTGGCTCCTGCGTCCTGATGGGAGAGACCAGCGCGGATCAGGAAGTGCCGCCCTTGCCCTCAAGAGGGTTGTGGTGCTTTGGGGAGCCTCATGGGCCGGGGGACATTCCACATCTGCTCACTGAGGGCTTAGGCAATGAAGTCACAGTGAGCCCTAAAACCAAAGGTAGGGGACACCTTCTGGGCTTCAAGGCCAGCACCCTGCCTTGGAGGCAGCGGCCCCATGGGCCTCTTGAACCAGAGATGCGTCTTCCAGTTCCCCACCCTCCACAGAGCCCTTCTCTGGATGCAGATGAGAAGAGTCAGGCTTGGAGCCTGTCCTCGCTCCCCGACACATGGTGCCTAAGCCAGCCTTCTGCGCTGCTCTCCCTCGCGTCTGGTGCGTTGCCCGCCTCTGGGGACTTGGTATGTGGGAAGCCGCCTCTGCTTAGCCCTCTTGGGTCATGGCCCTTTTCTCCATCCGAGCCGGGCCTGCCGAGGCCAACAACTTCCATTCTAGGGTGTGTGTGTGTGTGTGTGTGTGTGCTTAACCAATGGGAATGAATAAAACTTGGGGTACCCCA